CAAGAGCCCTTCCGTCCACCTGGCACTTTAGGGCCAGTCCTTAGCCAAGGCACAGATGCCCCTTCCTGAGGCCCTGGGAGGACTCCTCTCCATGGGGAGCCCCAATCAGATGTGTCTTGGCTGCAGGGCCCAGGCAGCTGGCCAGCAAGGGCCGGAAATGCTCCAAATACTCTCCTTCCTCCAATAGCTAAGGGGAGGGAGGCCCCTCAGAGAGGCCATTTTATAGTGATAGCTGGACTAAATCCTTTGCTGGGGGGGATGGGAGATGGTGTAGAAGGAAGTACTTTTGAGGGATAAACCAAGAAAGCATCCTTCTACGGCTTGTTAAAATCCAATAGCCTGAGAGCTTGCCTTCTGCCAAACCCCAGGCGGGTGTACGAGGGGTTCCTTTGCTGGGACACGAAGCTGTGTTGTTGGCAACGCTAATATCTGAATCTGACCTTCAGAAGAAGGTTAAAAATAGTGTTGTCCTGGCAAAGCCAGTCTTCGTCTATGTGTGTCTGTGTACAGATGCCTGTACATGCACAAGCTTCTTAAGAGGCAGAGACGAATAGTGTCCCCATCTGGTGCTTCGAGGGGGCAGTGGTGGTGGACACAGGGAGAGGGCATTGTTGATCTCGAGTGGAACAGCCTCACCTGCTCTCCTGTTATTTGCAGAATACCAGATGGGGAGTTTGCAAACTGGAAAACAACTTCTGTAGTGGATTTGGGAGAAGGTGTAGGGGATGTCTTGACTTTTTGGAACCTGTTCATGATCAGAGTTCCTCTGGCGCCTTTCTCTCATCTTTTCTTGAGCTTCAGCCACATGCTGGAGGTGAGGCTCCTGACCTCCTGTTGCTGGCCTCCTGGAATAAGGCCCACAGTGTTGCCAAGTAGTGGTCATCTCCCCTTAGATAATTAACTAAAACAAGCGCAGCATTCAGCTTTCGTTTGCACAGTGCATCTCTGTGCGAACAGTATGTTTGTTGATCCTTTCAGTCAGGAGTGAGGTCTTGCTGTTCTCCCAGTTAATGGATGAGGAAACTAAGGCTCAAGGAGGCTGTGTAGCTGAGTCAGTAACTGGCAGAGCCGTGCCCCAGCCCAGGTGAGCCTCAGAGATGGGAAACACCTCCCGTATCCTCCCCTTTGTACCCTGCCTCAGGAGGAAGCGGGGAGCTGGGGGCGGGGTTGCCTGGCTTCCTTGCTCTCGACCAGCTGCACACTGCCTTTTTAAGCCCAAGCTCCCCCGTTAGGTCTGCACTGGTCATCTTGACGTCCAGCCCCAAACCAGATGTTTAGAGCAGGGAGAGCAGATGTACGTCAGCAGCTGGGCAGGAGGGGAAGGCTGGGGGCCACAAAGCAGGTAGCCCATGGAGGAGGAAGGAGTGCGAGTGACCAGTTATGGGCTTCATGGCGCCCACTGGAATCCTGCCCTCCCTCATGGGGAAACTTTGCCATGAAATGCCCACAGGCCTGCAAATCCTCCTGTGCCCGGTGTTCCTCTCCTGGGGAGGGGGCCAGTGCCCTTACCCATCACACACAGGGGTGGGGGGGGGGGTGCCTGCACCTGGCTGTCAGGGACACAATGCTGAGCGCTGGCTGAAAGGAACCCTTTGAAAGGCTCTTTGACACCAGTTTCAGATCCCACTCTGGTGTGTGTTCTCCCTCACCCTTAAACCCACTGAACAAAGCGGGTCTTGGACCAAAGCTCCTGGCTCCAGCTTCTCCCCGTCTCCCATTGTCCTCTTGATCTTCCAGAGGTAGCTGCTGGTCAGAGCAGGTTCAGGGCTGGGGTGGGAGTACAGCGAGTCCTGGAGTGGAGTTCCAGGGCCTCGTACTGTTTTGCCCCTTGCACCTTTCATGGGCTGTGCAAGAGGACAGCAAAGAAGAGAGGCCAGACCCCAAACTGATCCTTGACCAGCCCAGCCTAGACAGGAGTAGAGCAGACGTTCTAAGAGACCTAGAGAGTGCCCACAACCTCCCAGTTGTTGTAGGAGGGGACGCACACGATGCCCCTGAGCTCTTGGGGCCCCCAGGGGGCAGTGGTTAAGAGCCCTGGCTGTGGGTTCAGGCAGATCTGGGTTCAGATCCTGGCTCTGCTGTGATACTACCTGTGTAATCTCCAGCTGGTTAGTTAATCTCTCTGTGCTTCAGTTTCCCTTCTGTAAAATGGGGTATTAGTGCCTACAAACGGGTTTGTAGTGAGAATTAAATGAAGTGATGTCAAGTCTTAACACAGGCCTGGCACATCATTGGTGCTCAGTCAACGCCACTGAGGCCCAGAAGGACTAAGTGGCTTGCCTCAGGTGCACAGCTCCTTCAGAGCCCACCTCCTCCTCACATAAAGGAGTCCTTTCTGTTTCTGTCTCTTCTGGGCTGTTGTAAACCAGTGAAGCCTTCACAGGTCTTGGCTCTAGAAGTGATAGAGGCTGTGGATGCCCCCAGAGTCATTCGCTCAGCCAGCCAAGGTTCCTGAGCAGCTGCTCTGCAGAAGGCTGGAGGCTGATGAATGTCCCTGGCTGAGGCCCCGTCAGGAGGCAGCCATGTTGAGGGGAGGCTGAAGAGGCCCTGATAGATTCTCAGGGGCAGTGTTTGTAAAGATAAGGACAGACAGCCAGGAGAAGGATTGAGAGAAGTGGGGCCCCAGCAGGGGAGGGGGTCGTGAGGGACATCTGCAGTATTGACCTTGCTGTTGTGGGTCTGGGGTACGCTCCCCAGGCACCGCTGCTCTGTGCTCTGCTTTGAGCGCCTGCCCCCAAGGTCAGGGCGTTTGTGGTCTCTGAGGCCCAGGGGCTGCCTGGTCACATTGTGTTTTTGAGAAGACCCTCATCCCCTGCAGAGTCCAAACCAAGCTGAGGAGGCCCCTCCCGCCCCGGTCTGAGGCTGAAGTGCTTCTGCTTATTGGGCCTCCCGTGGTGGCCCCAGCGAGGCCTCTCCGTGGCCCCAGCCAGCTGCCCCTTTCACCTCCCTGCCTCTCAGGATTACTCAGCCTTCACAGCGTCTGTCACTAAGATGCTGAGTGCGTTCTTGACGGCCTCTCTTCAGGAAAGGCTCGGGCTGTGTGGCCTTTTAAGAAAGGCTCGGTGCCCGGGTTAAGCCTCTGATTGTGGTTCTGCGTGAAGAAACCATAAACCAAGGAAAAGCGGTGGTTCAGCTTTGGTCTTGGGCTTTGTGTCAGCGACTGCTTGAGTCCCTGGGCTTGGAGTTGAATGTGAGCCATACAGGCAGGTGGAGAAGCCGTCCTTCCCGTCCAATTTCTGCCTGGATTTTTAAGAGTAGGAACAAGTCCAAGGAGCCTCTCATCCCACTGTCTGTAGGTGCTCGGCTCTGCTCGAAACTTTGTCTCCTTGATGCAGGGGCCTTGGGGGAGGTCCCCAGCGCAGCCTCTTTCTTCACAACAAAATCCCTAGTGCCTGGAAATCTTGGTCCTTCCACCGGGGCCAAGAGCTGGAGAGTGAAATCCAGGTTTTTAGGCTAATCGCTGGGGAGACCTGGTCATTTTCTAAAAGGTTCCTAATGGCCTAGCAGTGTCAAGAGATCTAGCCTAACTCAGGGAGGGAAGGGAGAGAGAGCTCTGGCCCCACCAACCGGGGCGCCCGCTGCACCTGCAGGCAGCCCTCGGCCTCTCTGGGAGTTAGAGCTGGTTGTCCTGGGGCCGTGCTGACGGCAACTTGACTGCTCCTCAGCGGCCATCTCCTCACCCTTGGTCCTGGGGGATAGTTTGGTTTTCTCTCCTCCTCTCCAGGGCACGGGCAGCCCAGTAACTGGATGTTAAATGGCTCTCCCATCACCACTTCTGAAAGGGCCACTACGGTGGGTGGTGCTCTGAGGACTGAGACTGGGTGGCCCCCAGCACATTGCCTGCCCCTTCCCTCCCGAAAGGGAACAGCACCGTGAAACTTGTCCTAGAGCCACGTTCTGTTTGCCTTTTTTCCCCACAGACAGAGGCACTTGCAGTGTTTATTAAAGTGGAATGGGTGGGTTTAATCCAGGGCCCATCTCCCCCCAGGCCTCGGGGAGGAGACCTGTGGCTGAGGACCATTCTGGCAGTGGTTGTGCGGCGCCACCTCCTGGCCACAGTTCCCATCTGGTCTTCTTCCTCTTGCTCAACATTTGCCAGAACAGTTCATCTAAAAGCAAAAGGAACTTGAGGAAGAGATTCTGAAGTCTGTTTCTGGTCGACCCTATGATGCTCGTAGCTTTCTGTATCAGCGTGGCCTTCCTGGGGCAGCCTGGCCAGGCCTTGGTGTCTCTGAAGCCTGAGTCGTCAAGGCCGGACTAAGCAGCTGTGCTCTAGAAGCAGGGTCATCTGCCTAGCACCCATGCTGGATGTGTGTCTCGCGGGGTTACTCTGCATGTGGTTTACGATCCATCGGGCCAGGCCTCCCATCTTTGAGGGGAGGGAGTGTTAAGGAAAGTGCTTGGAGTGTGGGAAGGAGACAAGGGTGCAAATCAAGAGCACAGCGTCTTCCCCGGGGCCGCGGCTATTCTGTTTTCTCCTCTGGGCTCAGTTCTGCCGCCACTGACCCAGCATCCAGGCAGGCTGGCCCTGAGCAGAGCTGCAGTGCCGCCGCCGCCCCCCCCCCCGCCCCCCCCACCTTGAAGGCGCAGGTGGCTCTTGTCTAGGATGGGCCATCTTCTGGGAACTGGTGTCAGGGAGGATTTTTGTTTTTGTGAGTTAATTTTGAGGGTCCCTTCAGTGTGTGCTGCTCCCTGAGTGGCAGGACACCTGCCTTCTGTACCTCGTCCATCTTTGAGTGCCCCTTCTCCGCCATGGATGAAGAGCAGATCCCCTGCAGCTCATTTCCTACACAGACAGTGGGGATTCCTGCTGCTGTGTCTGCTTTAGAGAGAAGGCGTTGGAATAAACATGGACGCTTCACTGTTGACTGTATTTGGTTGTTCGCCAAGTGCGTGCTAGGTGCCCTGGTGGAGCTTCCAGACTAGAAGGATACCGGCCCTGGGGGACGTGTGCCCAGAGACGCCCTGGAGCTAACACCTCGTCACTCCCTCCGCTCTAGGCCTGGTCTCCAAGTCCTCTCCTAAGAAGCCTCGTGGACGGAACATCTTCAAGGCCCTTTTCTGCTGTTTTCGTGCCCAGCATGTTGGCCAGTCAAGCTCCTCCACTGAGCTCTCTGCGTACAAGGAGGAAGCCAATACCATTGCCAAGGTAGCTGGGTTAGGGTGGCGTGATGCCTGCAAGGAGCGGACTGCTGCTGGGGGCCCCGCAACCATGGCAAGTGGGCAAGGATGCTTTGCCTGAGGTCGCAGAGATCTCTGGCTCAGCGGAGGCCCTTCCTCTGTGCTTCCCATGGTGGGCCGTCTTCTTTCTTTTGCTTCCCATTTGCGAGGTGGGCCATCCAGATGTCCCTGTGGTTTCTGGGGGCCCCTGCAGTCCAGATCCTTCCAGGTTCCAGGAAGTGTGTAAGGCACTTTGCATATATTGTCTCATGTGATCCACATAGCAGCCCTGCGAGGAGATTCCCAGGATTCCCAGTTACAGCCGTGGAAACCGAGACCCAGAAAGTTTACATAGCCCCTGAAGAGCAATGGTTAATAAGTGGTGGTGTCAGAGTTCCAGCTCAGGTCTTTCTGGCTGTAAACCCTGTGTTTGTTGTTGTTTACTATGCAAAGCTACCTTCCAAGCTACATGACTTTTGGGGAACCAGGGAACTGAAATTCTACCAGACTGCTGATAACCTCTTCCAGCACTCACCTGTGCCTGTGAGAGGTGTTTGGAAACGTGTGGGTGTCTTTGATCCTCACAGTGACCAGAAGACTTGTATGGTGTTTCAAGGGTGGGGACAGCCCAGCCCAAAAATCCTCCTGCCCCCCAATGCCATTGGTACTTCTTTCCGAAACACCAAGGTCTGGCTGTCCTTCCTCTCTGAAAACCAGGCCAAAGACATGTCCATCAATGAAAAACCATTTCAGCATCCAATAGGGGAATAAAGTACAACATGATGGTGTTACTGAGCGATTCATTTTTACAACGAGTTCACAATAACATGGAAAAGTATTGAATTGCAACATTAAATCAGAAAGCAGAGTGCGAAATTATATATAATGGAAAAAAAGACTGCTAAAACAAACTTGAAGGAAATACACTAAAATGCATTTTCTTTTTTTAAATTTAAAAATGCAAAAACAGGGGCCAGCCTGGTGGCGTAGTGGTTAAGTTCTGCTTCAGTGGCCCAGGGTTTGCGGGTTCAGATCCTGGACGCAGACCAACGCACTGCCTGTCAGGCCATGCTGTGGTGGCGTCCCATGTAAAGTAGAGGAAGATGGGCACGGATGTTAGCCCAGGGCCAATCTTCCTCAGCAAAAAGAGGAGGATTGGTAACGGATGTTAGCTCAGGGCTGATCTACCTCACAAAAAAAGCAAAAACATTTTTTTCTAAGTGCTAGGATTTTAATTTTTCTTCAGGGTTTCCGTTAAGAACACTTAACTACTTTTCACAGCCATAATATTTTTATTATTAGCAAAAGGCAGGGGAAGCCTTTCTGATCTCTGCACTCCACCTGCCCTCACGTTTCAGGCCCCACAGTGTGGGTGCACGTTGGCTCATCTAATGTTTTGTAGGGGCTCAGGGCCCCCACGTATCCCCCCAAGGAGGGCAAAGAAAACACCCGTTCTCAAGGAGAAGCCCAAGTTCCAGGACTAAGAGGTACACCACGTGGTGAGGAGTTTGATTGTGGTTCTGCCTCTACGTCCCTGCATCCGCTGCTTGAGTTCCTGGTCCTCGGTGTCCAGCTGAGAGGCAGTGGCAGCGAGAGCAGGGGCACTGTCTTCTCCATCCATCATCAGCCTAATGTGGAAAGGAAGCTCTGGCCTTTCCCCTTTCCTGCCTGGCCCTTAAGTCACTTTTGTCATGTCAGGACCCTCCAGGGGGCTGGGGTCTTAGGGAGAAAATTACCCTCCAGGCCTGAGGCGGAGCAGTGGGCTCTAGACAGGTTGGGTTGGGGAAGGTGCGGCGGGTCGGCTCACTATCTCCTCCTCTTCCACAGTCGGATCTGCTCCAGTGTCTCCAGTACCAGTTTTATCAGGTATGTTTATCTGACGGGGTACGTGCTCAGAAGCCCAAGACCCTGTGATCCCTGCTAACCCTGTGGGGTGATGCCCCCCTTTCCTGGCTGGCCATCTCCCTGCCCTGAGAAGCCATTTGTTCCACATATTTGCTGAGGGCCCGCTATGTGCAGGGCATTCGATTCTGGGGGGACAGCTGATGTCCCTCCCACAGCAGCCCTGGCCTCCATCTCCATGTCCATATCACTTCGTAGGCCCAGAGGGAGGCTGAGGCCAAGGAGCCAACTCAGTCTCTTCTTTCTCTCTCTCAGCCTTCAAGCGGCGCCTCTCCTGGGTTGCACTTGGGGGTCTTCTGTCTCCCTGAGGAGCCCAGCTCTTCCCGGAGTTCTGCTGGGGGAGTGTTGGGGCTTTCTTGGTGGCAGATCTCAGCAGCCTGGCTCTGGTTTTAGATCCCGGGGACCTGCCTGCTCCCAGAGGTGACAGAGGAGGATCAAGGAAGGATCTGCGTGGTCATTGACCTGGATGAGACCCTTGTGCATAGCTCCTTTAAGGTAACCTGACATCAGGAGGCTTTCCCCCACCTGTCTCTGGCTGTCTTGTGAGCCTGACGACAGGTGCTATGAGGTGGCCTCAAGCTGATGATAGGAGAGTGATCAGAAGGAGAAGGAGAGCCTCCAGCGTTTTGGCCACACTGGCGTCACAATATCCGGAGGCCGCCCTGAAGAAGGTTGAGTAGGACCCCCTGCTCCCCCAGTCACTGCCAGCAGGCTGCATCTGCCTGCAGTCCTGTGGCACAGAGAGCCGCCGGGACTGTGCCCTGGGCGGGCCTAACGGGGTTGAGTCAGCCCTGCAGCCTGTTCCTCTCCTCTTTATCAGGATGTTTGTTGACTCCAGAAGGCCCTGGAACTCGCTCAGCTCAGGTAGAATCGGGGGGGGGGGGTGCGTAGGGAACAGCAGTAGGAGATGTCACACTCAAGGCACTGTGGTGAGAACCGCTTAGTGGGATGGTAGGAGGAGCTTCCTGGAGTCGCTGAGATCCCGCCCAGGGGCCTTGGCAGTGGCTGTGGCAGGGACTGGGGTGCAGTGGGGCTTCTTGTCTCCTTCCCACCAAGGTGACCTTGTTACCTTTCCTGCCTTCCAGCCCATCAACAACGCCGACTTCATAGTGCCTGTGGAGATCGAGGGGACCACCCACCAGGTGAGCCACCTGCCAGGCCGCACCCAGCCCGGGCCCTCCGCCCCCTCAGGGCTGGTGTTCCGTCAGTGATCCCTTCCTGTACCTCCAGTCTCTCTTCTTTCATTGGCACCTTTCACAGTCAAGGCTTTCTCATCTTAAAAAAAACATTTGGCTTCTGTCTCGCTTCTAGCTGCCACCTTTTATCTCTGTGCAGCCAAGCTGTTTAAATTAAATAGTATTACTTACTAACAGCTGTCATTGCCTGATCACCCCCCCATGTGGTCAGCGCTGTTACATGATTTGTTACACTTTCTTTAATTCTGAATAGTTGGTGTCTCTTCCTTTTGTAGGCAAGGAAACCAGTACTAGCTGTTTTCTCTCCTCCCTGTGCCCCCAACTCCGTCTAGCTAGGGAATTTCTTTCTCTTCAGCCCAGGCATCTCCTCTGGGAGGCTTTCTCCAGCTCCCCTCCCTTGGGGTCCCTGCACTGCATTCTGCCCCAGTAAATGCTCGGCGCATATCTGTCAAAGGGCACTTGACTCTCAGTGAGATCAGGCTGTGGCCCTGCATAACCTGCTCAGTCCAGGGTTCAAGGGCGTGTGGTGTTGATAGTGAAAATCCATTTACTCAAAACATTTGGCCAGCAGGCCTCCAGCTGGCCCAGGAGTCCAGGACCGTCAGGAACAATGCCCTGGTAGCCCAGATGGCTTGTTTGCGTGGCCTGGTCAAATGGAAGAGTTCCTTGCAGGGAAGGGGTTTGAGGCTTCCACAGGCGGTCGTCGCTATCCCTTGTCCGTTGAAGCTTTCTTCACCGACACCACCCCCTCCCAACTGAGGGGCCCTGCCAGGCCCAGTGCCAGCCCCTGCTGGGAACCAGGCTTGGCCCTTGGACTGCCTGGCCTCTGCCCAACAGCACTGTACAGTCTGGTTGAGGGTATAGAGATGTACAAAACCCACAGGGAAAGACGAAGGCATGTTTCTGAACAGGCAAATACACAGTGTAAACTCCTGGTTAACCAGAAGAGGCGTGAATAATGACAAAGGGATGAGACTCAGATGGGGGGCTACCTACAGAAGGTGAGTTTCCAGCAAAGAGTGGTGAGGAGATGCCAAGCTTGATGAATACCCAGGAACTTGTTGCAGGTTGAAGAAATGGCAAACTGAAAGGGAGCCGAATTGTGGCTGCCTAGAGCAGAGCCAGGAGGGGTTTGTGATTGGTGGCCAGTTCAGGCCACCTCCGGGGGGGAGAGTCTTGGCAGGCATGTGCTTGTTTAGCAGGGAGTGACATGGATAAAAAGAGCTTTGAAGGAATGGTTCCAGTAGCACCTGTGTAGGCTGGACAAGAGAGAAAGAGCCTGGAGGCAGGGAAGTAATAGAAGACAGACCCGTGAGGGACATGCAGCCAATGAACCTTGTAGGCCAAAACATGCAAGATCGTGAAAGGTGGACATGAGGGTTAGGGGCAGCAGGCAGGGATGAGGACACGATGGGTGGGGGTTCTGGAGCAAGACACTGTAGCATGTCTCAACTGCTGTCCTCTAGGGGGAAAGGAGTCACTTCTCCTTGGTGCATTTCAGAGAGGCTGTGTGAGGGCACGACCTTGCCTGATGGTGACCTGGACAAACTGTCCTGCCAGAGCCAAGGACAGGACACTCCCATAGAGGCTGTGGCTGGATTCAAGTAATCCAGGATAGGCTGTTTCCATCTGTGAGGCCTATTCTTGATTACTTGTTTCTGGAGGCAGCTGATGGTTCACCGCCCAAAGCAGATGGCTCCTGGGACATGAGTGTATGCGTTTCTTCCTGAGCTGGGTCGAGGTTGGGACCACTGAGCCAGCAGAAGCCTCATGAGAAGGGGATGCTAGTGCCCTGGTCTGTGGGAGAAGGCTTCCAGCCAGGTGGTCCCAGAGGCTCAGGTGCGGGCGTCTGGACAGAGTAAGGTCTGAATGTACTTGCTGCTCTGTGTACGTGGTGACCGTGACCAGTGCTGCGATGCTTCACTCTCCCAAGGATGCCTTCGACAAGCCTTTCTGCTTTCCCTCAGGTGTATGTGCTCAAGAGGCCTTACGTGGATGAGTTCCTGCGACGAATGGGGGAACTCTTTGAATGTGTTCTCTTCACTGCCAGCCTGGCCAAGGTACCTGGGGACAGGAGGGGAGCAAAGAACTGGGAGCAGGTATGGCTGCCACAGGGGTGGTCCAGCAACTCCTTGCTGGTCCACAGGATGCCAGGACTGCCTCCAAACAAAAGCTCCTTCTCTTCTCCCAGTATGCCGACCCCGTGACGGATCTGTTGGACAGGTGTGGGGTGTTCCGGGCCCGCCTGTTCCGTGAGTCCTGTGTGTTCCACCAGGGCTGCTACGTGAAGGACCTCAGCCGCCTGGGAAGGGACCTGAGGAAAACCCTCATTCTGGACAACTCGCCTGCTTCCTACATCTTCCACCCGGAGAATGCAGTGAGTGGTCCCGACATGCCCACACTGCAGGGCATGGGAGTCCCCACCCCTCGAGGGAGAGGGAGTGGGCGGTGGAACCGTGGGCGTTACCAGAGGTGGAGCCAGCCAGCCTCCGGGGGCTCTGGGACAAGGAGGCTCTGGGCCTTCCCTGGGGGGAAGAACTGGCGGTCGGGAGATTTATGCCACCTTTTCCCTGCCCCAGGTGCCCGTGCAGTCTTGGTTTGATGACATGGCAGACACTGAGTTGCTGAACCTGATCCCAATCTTTGAGGAGTTGAGCGGAGCAGAGGATGTCTACACCAGCCTCGGGCAGCTGCGGGCCCCTTAGCCTCCCCTGCTCCCAAGCAACAGCCATCCCAGTCGGGGACTTTCCTACACTGTGCCTTCACGATCAGCCTGACGGAGTGGAAGCTGGAGCATCTCACTCAGTGGGGCCTGGAAATAGAAGTGACTGGAAAGAGCTTTAGGACAGGTTAGATGCCGAGTGGCCAATACCAGACCAATGATACCCAGAGCGGCCTGCTCCTTGAGTTGGGTTCCCAAGATTGCGTGTGTGTGTGTGTCCTGCCTTGAACTGTGGCCCTGGGATATAAGTGTTTCAGGACAGGGGAGAAACTGAAAGATCGAGACTCTCCCCAAGTTAGTCTGTTTCCTCTCCAGTCACCCTGAAAGCCCCTGAGCTCTTTGGGATTAAGACTGTTGAAGGCTCCGTTGCCAAACCCATGGCCTTCCCTCAGTGTTGTGAGGCTTATGCCAAGGAGAAAGGAAGGGTCAGAGGCTACCTTTGGGTGCCTCAGGCACACACCTTTCTGAAACCTTTTTCCAGCCACCTGCTGCAGACAGAAAGACGACATTTCTGGAAGATGAAAGCTTGTTTCCAGAACCGGCAGCCCCAGTGGCCATCAAGTTCTGTGGCCCAAGGGCTGCTCTTGCCTCCAGCAGAGTGCCTGGCATGAGCTCCTTCTATGTCTCCCCAAGGCTTGGACGCTCGGCCTGCCTTCCTCACCACCTAGCCATAGTCTTGAACCTGTGGGGAAGGAGGTCTTCTCCCTGCCCTGGAAGAGAAACTGATTTCCGTTCTTTTGACTCTGTTTTAAAATTCTCTTTCTAAACTGGGAGTGTTGGGCCTGTTTTGTTTCTGACAAAGCTGCCGTCCTGGGCCTGAGATGAATGTGGGAGGCTCTGGGGGTACAGGGAAGAGGAAAGCCCCAAATGTCTGTGTCCCCTTGGCTTGTAGATCAGCTGAGCTCAGGACCGTGTCCCTAAGTCTGCTCTTCAGGGATTCTCTGCTGGTGCTGGTGCCAGGACGTTTGGTCCACAGCCCGGGAAGGGCGCTCCGTGCCACCCCTCCTGTTTCTTGGGCAGGGCCTGCTTCGTGTCTTCCCCCAGGGCCTGGCCTGTGCAGAGCACTGTCTGCTCCAGCCCTCATCCTGCCTGCCTGTCACTTTTCCTCTCCAGGGCCTCAGAGGCGCTCCTGCTTCTTCTGGGCTGAGGGGAATGGGTGTTCTCGTCATCAGTTTGCCAGCCTAACGCACATTCCTCCCGCCCCTGCTCACAGGTGGAGTGAGCCCTCCACACCTGCGCTCTGCGTGGCTCCTGCTGTCCGAGTTTCTCAATAGTGACGCTTTAAAAAATAGTCACAAAACAGAAGTTTCCCCAGGATGGAAAACAAAAGGGGAAGTGCTGCTGTAATTGGGAGCACAAAGGGCCCCCCGAAAGGGAGCCCCACCTCAGCATCACTGCCTTAGCCTTGGCCTCCCTGGGGCTGCATGGGGTTTTCTCCTCTCTACCCTGCCCCTCTGGAGGGAGGGACTTCCTGTCCCCATCTCTGTTTTCCTTGGGGGCAGGTGTCACAAATCATTTGTAAATTGCTTCAGGTGCGAGGACTCAGGACTCATCCCCATTATCTTTCAGCGTCCCCAGTTTTGAGAAAACCAGGGGGGAGCAGCAGCTCGGTGTTCTGAGTGGCAGCTGGCTGACGAGCACTTTCTCTAGCATTATGATGCCACCTCCCCTCCTTGTCCCAAGGTTGGAAGGCCTGGTCTTTCCCTTTGGTGTCACAGAAGTGGAACAGAGTCCCCAGGGCCCATGTGGTCATTTCCCACAGCGTCATTCCTTGGTGCCCACAGGGTCCTGCTGCAGGTAGGGGAGGAGGGCTCAGTGCCAGCCAAGAACACCGTCTCCTGAAGGAAAGTGGGAGCTGCCCTAGGCCTCTTTCCTCCTATTTCCGGAGGGGCCTCTCTCCCAAGCCCGACCCTAGGGCTTAGCCCCTGGGCCAAATCTTCTGCCGTCTAGGCCCAGCCAAGCTTTTCTGACTGACTAAGCAATAAGGCTCGAAGCTGATCCAGTTCCTAGGACCCTTTCTCTCTTCCTTTGGGTCATGTTTTTCCAGGTGAAGGAAGAGCCTGTGCCACCCCCTTTTCTATCAGGCTTGTCTAAATGCTCCGAGCGTGATTCGTGACCAGAGCTCAGATAGCTTGGTGACCGTGTCCCTGCTGCTTCTGCGTGAAGCCCTGCACCACAGGCCTCGTTCCCGGCAGAACCCTACCCTGCCCACCTGCAGTTCCTCAACAGAAATGCCATATTCCCACTTCCCCTCTCCTCCCTTCCCCAGAGAAGCAACTCGGCCAAATAAATCTAAACACGGAGTCCGTCCATGTGGACCAGAGCCAGTTGAAGTCATTATTTGCTGGTGGTTTCGAGTTTCACAGTGTGTTAGGAGCAAGGGATGATTGCAAAACTCGCTCCCTGGAGGAATCAGGCCAGACTCAATTTTGGAGGAAGGCAAGATTGGGAGAGAGCCAGTTCATCCCAGGATCTGTTCTAGGGCTTCCCACCAGTCTTTACCGTTTAAGACTGGTCTTCCGGAGGCAACAGACCACCAGGCCTGGTCAGCCCCAGTTCAAGCCATGCCAGGAATCTGCCCACCTGCCAGGTTCAGTTCTTTAAGGTGCCTCTTCAGGGACACAGTGTGTCTCTCTGATTGGGCTTCTAAATCAAAAGCCTGATGTTCGTGTCCCTCTCATAGGGGGAGCTGTGGACACAGGACCAGTGTGGAAAGGGCCGGGTAAGAGTTTCTGCTCTGCACATTGTAGAGGGGACGCTCGGCAGGCCCACGGGTCCCGTACAATAGAGAGGTTGAGTGAATTGGCCTTCAGTTAATCTGGAACCTTCTATTGAGTTCCCTCCTGCCTCCCAAAGATTTTGACCATTTTGTAAGTCTATAAACTCACCTCTCTTAGTAGTGGCCCAGAAGCTTCTTTGTGCTAAAAGCATGAGAAGTTTAAAGGCAGTCATTCCCTGGGAAATGGATCCCATTTTATTCTGCTGCCCCACCCTGTTCCCGAGGCCTCGTTCAGTAGGGCCGCCCCCTGGCAAGGCTGTCCTGCCTCCTGTGCCCAGCCAGGCTGCGTGTCTGTGCAAGGTAAGCCTCTTCCCCTTCAGGTCTTCAGTTGGTTATTTACCACTGTTGTCCCTCGGTCACTTTTTGTAAAATGGGGGTTTAGTTTTGTCTTTTTTTTTTTTAAACGCTGGTAAATCTTTGCATTAAGCAGAGGAGGGAAGGCAGAGGTCTGGCCTGGCCTGCCCCTGGAGCAGACCCTCCTCTGGGCCCAGGAGCCGCTTTGCTGGAGTTATCCCCAGGTGGACGCGTTCACGTCGTGCCACTTTCCCCTTCACAATACCATTTGGAGGGTGGGGATCTGCTTCCCACTGTGACTGGGCTATGGGATTCTGACTACCTTGCTTACAGATTCATGGTTTGATAAATTTGTTGTATTCAAAAACTTGAAATGTAGGACGCCATTACGTGTCTGTTTATATTTTTGGAATATTTGTATTACTTACAATTAACTAATAAAAATGGGTTTAAAAAACCTGATCCAGGAATGGGAGCTGCCTTCTGACCCTGCTGTTCATTCGGGCACTTACTGGGCACACCCTTCATCCCTCACAACCCCTGTCCTGACGAAGCCTGAGCACCCAGGCTGCGCAGGCCGTTGCCTCCGGCTGGGAGACCAGCTGTAGACTCAGCACACAGGCTTCTGCTCAAGGTCATAGAAGTCGGGCTACATTAGCTCTTCCCTGGCCCCCGTTTGGACCCAACTCCATTGCCATCCAGGTGCTTAATAAACTTATGGTTGGTGTCCTATTGACTTCTGGAGATGAACCCGAACCCCCAAGGGACTTGGAGTCTTTATGCTGTGCCCTGTCCTGATTCTCCCAAACCAGGAGCCCTGAGTGCAGAGCCCAGCATGGTTCCTGACACATAGTAGGCCCTCAAATATTGACTGGACTGATGTATGACCCCAGGGAGCAAAACAGAATGACCTAATGACATGCTCCTGACATCTCTGCTAGACTTCCCCTCTGAGAAGTACCCAGAAGCTTCTCAGGGAGGGCTTGCCAGCCTGGACATCCCAGGTGCTCAGTGGGTAGCGCCAGCCCCTGCTTCCTTTCCTGTCCTCAGCATAATGCACCCATATCTACAATACGGCAAATTTCATATCCTCCACCCCTCTTCCCTGCATTATTGATGGGCTATGCACTTTTTAAAAATCAATTAGATCAGGGTGTGGAGCTGGAGTTGAAAGAGAAAAGAAGCCTTTAAAAGTCTGCTCCTCTTGTTTTGCTGTTTTGAATAGGAACAGATAAAGCTTTCCCTCTGGTTTGAATAAGTCAAGCCCAGGGCTGGGTCGGCCGTGATTGGCCAGGATGAGGAAAGTGTGGTTAAGACGCAAACACAAGCAAATAGAACCCAGCGTCTGTGCGGCCATTGCTAAGCTAAGGCAGCAGGACCTGGAGCCTCTCGCTTTGAGGTGGTTGTCCAATACTGCCGCTGCTTCCTCGCCAGAAAACCGGGAAGACCGCTGGGAGAGAAGACGAGGTAAGGTCCGTTGGTGTATGGGTGCGTGTCAGTAGAGCCATCCTACTGAACAAGGAAGAAAGGGAAGGAGGAGGAGACTGAAATTCCCCTGGCTTTGTCTTCTTGGATGAGGCTTTTAAACGGTTAAACTAGGAATTGTGACCAGTTTTGCAAACTTCCTGCTGAGAAGTCAAGGCCCTTTTTAGAGACCACTGAACAGATAAGGGCACATTTTCAAAAGCCAGGAAAGATGGAGAAGACCCCTTTCACCTATCGCAGAGAGACAGTACGGGGCAAGACAGAGGTTCAAACCAGCTTCCTCTGCTTGGGGTCCATTCATAGGGGTATCTCGGTAAGAATTAAGGACCACTGGCTTTTAACCTGGGGTTTCAAAACTGCACCCCACTCCAGGGGTATCTGCAGTCACTTGAAAGGGTGCTGAATTAATAATAGGACTTGGGGTGGAGGGAGGGAGACACCGAGCTTTGGGGACTTTGATGTCACAGATGGAATCACATTTTCTGGGTGTTCCAGTGTGGCAGGAAATCTCTTCTTCAAGCATTTCCTCTCCTGCATTTGGGGGACCCTGGCCCAGTGAGCTTCTTCCCGACTGGGGAGTCCCTGCTGGGAAATGGGCTTGCTTTTGGCCTCTGAGACTCACAGTCCTAATTAATGCCAGTTGGTTTGGCTTTTACCAGGTGGACACTGCTCTGTCTCCAAGGAATGAATTCATTTGCCCTTGTCCCCTTCCCCTATTTGGGTCACGGCATTTGCCTTTAATGACTGAAGTCTAGGGTCTGAAGAAAACCTGAGCGAATATTTCCTGGCAATTCCTGGCAGCACAGGGTGGGGCAGCGCAAGTGATCAAATTAAGTCCTCAAACACTGGCTGCTCCGCGTCATCGCTCTGCCTTAGTCCTGCTACAGTGGGAGACAAAGGGAGCTTGGTTTTTGTGTTTTTGCCAAAGTCCATACTACAGAATGGCCTATATTCTCAGAACCTGGCTTCATCCAGCAAGGCTCAAGGGAAGGGACCAGACATGTTCCTCCAAACAAGCACACTGCCTCCAAATAGCACATCTCCATACAGTCCTTCCTGGGGGTGGTTTATCCTGTGTAAATCCGTCAAGCCCGTCCTTTTTCCTGTGCCTCTTAGGAGCATTCATCAGTTATGCATATCATCATCAGATTGCAAGCTCCTTGAGAGCAAGAACTGGGCAGGCATTTTAATTCCATAAAGTCCCATGTGGCCATGGATGTGTGTAGGTGCTTGATAACCCTAGACACGCCTCGACTAGAGATCCACAGGGACTTCTCTTCATCGCTTCCTTCCTCCCTCTCCCTTGTGGGCGCCACAGCACCACTGGCTCCTTGGGGTCTGGGAGTGGGGGGACGAGGAGGGCTTCTGCCCACAGACAGACCAGGCCACGCCGCCTTTCCCT